CAGTTACACTTAACTTATTTTGATTACTTTAATCCCAATTGCCAAACACATTAGAATATTCAAAAACTTGTCTAATATAACTATTTACAGATTGTAATAAATCTTAAAATTGAACAAAATCCTCTATATATCAAAAGATAAACATTGAAGTCATTTTTTATGATGTGTCATCACCACAATTTTTCTTAGTATATTTATTTATTTAATTTGGCTATATTCATTGCCAAACCTATTTATTTTTAAATAACTTATTTTGATTACTCTAATCCCAATTGCCAAACATTAGTTTCGTGGCTTTGATGAAGAACAACCCATTGATCATATCGAAAAGTTCAAACAAATATGTAGTAGAAAGAGACGTGATGAAGTCCATAAAGACAATTGAAGGTGCACTTTACTCTCGTTTTATTTGGTTAAGAAATCCTATAAATGGAGTAAGTATCTTTTAGTAGAATCACACATTACATGGAACGAGGACAAACAAACCTTTTTGAAGCAACTCTATCCGAAAAAGAGGTTAGACCAAATGAGAAGCAAAATCTCCAAGTTTAAACAAGGATCAAATGAATAATTCTATGGGGTTAAATCTCGAAGTCGAGCACGTGACCAATACGCCCAGCTCGCTTTCTCTCCCAAAGCTTCACCGAACCTCTTTCTTTGTGTCAGATCCCTTCGCCTCTCTGGTATTTTGTTGTGATCGGTGCCGTGAGAGGGCCACCACCGTCTCTATCTTAATTGTTCTCAGGCTATTGTACCTTCCAGATCAACTTGATTTGCCATGTTCTTCGGGGTGAGTAGGTTGAAGATTCGTTGTGCGTGACGGCCATGCTTAGGTGTTAGGGTTGTCTTCCGCTGTGGTTATTAACTAGTCGACGGCGAGGGATAACGGCAGGGACGAACTACTGTCCGATACTTGCCTCACGTATCTCGCTCGGCGTAGATCTGCTTTGTAGATCCTTCTCCCTTGCGATTCCGACGATGGAGCATGCTTAGATCAGCAATGGAGCGACGTCTATTGGTTGTGTCTTCGCTTCTCTGTCTTTTGTGGTTTCGCTCTTCCCAAACCCTGTTTGGAAATTTGTCGCATCTTGTTCATCTTCTGGTGAATAGGGCTTCTTCTCCGTCGGCTACTTCTGCTCGAGGACGGTTGTAGCTCTGTGAGTGTGGGAGTCGGATCTGCAGGACTCACTTAACAACAAAGACTGAGAATATGAATTCTTTATCGCTGTTTATGTTAAGCGGTGATTACAAGAGAGTTTCTCTGCTAAAAGTTCTGAACTCCTTTTTGGGTGAATATAATGAGCTATATATAACTTTATTAAGTAAAAGAGCCAAATAAAATGGGTCTGACCTATTAAGTAATATATCCAATTTAGGCCCATAATTTCATTAAGCCTATTTTGATTATGGATTTAATGAAATTTTGGGTCTAGATTCAGACTGAGCCTTTGTAGACTCGATCCGATTTTGTCAGGACGCTGCGAAGTTGATCTCGTCGTTATATCGATTTTATAGAGGAGAAATTCGACCCCCTACAGTTAGTCTTTGTCTTCACATTGTGTCTGAGGTTGTCTTATAGTGATGACGATTTAAGATTTTCGGTGGATCAAACGGAGTTGCTACGCCGAACGATAGGTGATTAGTTACTCTCTGGCTCTTCTTGCTGGAGCCTCGATGTCTTAGTCCCACTTCTAATAGATTTGGTTTTATGGTAGTGCTTCTTGGTTAGTGATTTTTGGATTCCTCCAGTTGACGTTTTGGCTCGATGAAATTATTATCTCTGTTAGAATTTCTGTTTGGTGACAGCTTCAGATCAGATCTTGTAGAAGTGTGGTCATTGCGGTTTCTCGGGTGTGAGGTCTCGTCTTTGTTTGATCCATTGTTACTAGCTGGTACTTGCGGTGTTGTAACTTAGGAGTTGGTGTAGTTACCGGTGGTGACTATCTCACTGCTTCTTTGGATTTGCTTCACGGTATATCGAGTCTTGATGGTTGGTTACAAGCCTTGTCTTGCTGGATAGATGTAGTCTTGTGTGAATTAGTGTTTGGCTCTGTTGCTCAAGCTTTGTGCTCTAGAGAAGCTAGTAAGACCAATGCAGTTCGGTGTTGTTTTTAATAGTTTAAATCTAGCTCTACACTAGCCGACTTTGGAAGGAACTTGGTAGTGTGAGCTTGCACTGTGCTATTTTATTGGTTTGTGAGGTTTCTTCTTTGTGTTAAGCTCATGGTTTAGAGCTTCAAGTCGTTCTTACATGACACGAGAGG